TATATAACATACAGCACACACACTGTGGGTATAAACACTCCAGAAATACTCTGGGTTCCTTTCCATGCCCCGTGGTTTGGGTCACAAACCGCTGGATCTCTCACATGAGAGGTTTCTCCTGGGCTGGAATGGTTTGGGGATGTTCTGGGACTGTGGGAAGCTCCAGAAACCCCGACCCCAAAGAGAGCACCACAGGGGATGAACGGGAACACTCCCAAACCGAGATTTCCATAAATCCTGTTCCTGAGGGAAGGGAAATCCAGGCATTCAGGTGAGGAGGCACTTGGCTGGCACGGATGGATGGGATTTGGGGCAGGGATTGTTCCCTGTAGGAATTTGGGGCAGCCCTGGATCCCTGGCAGTGCCCCAGGCCAGGCTGGACATTGGGGTTGGCAGCAAAGATCCCACTGATAGCAGCCCCTAAGCACAAACCAACCATCATGGGGTACAGAGATAAAAATCCTTCTGTCAAGCACTCAGGCCAGCTCAGAAGGGTTGGGTTCATCCATTTAAACACATCCCAGGAGCTCTGGTGACCCGGCTGATGGTGGCACCTGATGGGACATTGCCAGGGGACGGGGCTGTGTGGCACAGCCTGTGCCAGGCATGGACAGGGTAGGGAAAGGGGTGACCCTAAAAAGCAGCAGCATTTCCTGCACACCCCATTTCCCCTTTGTGCTCCCCCCAAACACGGGCTGAGCTGGGGCACGGGATGCCCACCCTGCAGACCCCAAACCCTTCCACAGCTCCCACAGGAGGGGAAGCTCTGCCAGGGCTGGAGCGGGCATAAATAAAATAAATATAAAATAAATAAAATAAATAAAATGAATAAGATAAATAAGATAAATAAAATAAATAAAATAAATAAAATAAATAAAATAAAATAAAAAAAGATAAATAAGATAAACAAGATAAATAAAAAATAAAATAAATAAAATAAATAAAATAAATAAAATAAATATAAAATAAATAAAATAAATAAAATGAATAAGATAAATAAGATAAATAAAATAAATAAAATAAATAAAATAAAAAAGATAAATAA